TGGTCGGAATCCACTTTAAACCGCAGGTCCCTGTCGAATATGATTGCAGAGCGTTGGGCGTAGGACTGACAACCATACCACGTACAAAAGGAAACATCTCACGGTTCGAAATTTGTCAGTAGGCAAACAGTCTTGGCCCACCATGGGGCTGTTGCGCCACTGAAGAATAATTCATTCTATGACTACCAAATATTTCTTCTTCATTGAGGCAACAGCTTCCTGATGGTTCAAGGCCGTCCGTCTACCGGCAATTTGAGACAAGAGATGTTTTCTTTTTACTGGGTAGGGTTGTCAGCCCTACGCCCAACAATCATATTAGACCGGGAGTTAAGTTTAAAGTAGATTCCGAACCACTACAAACATCGAGGCATGGCCGAAAATCGAAATCCAAAACCTGTGGTATTGAGCACCAGAGATTAGATTTGATTTTACTTAATTTGTCGCTCTACGGTCATTTTGTGAACACTTTAGGCTATTAAGACAGGGACCTACAGGATATCGAACCACTAACAAACATACATGGCATCGCCGGGATTCGAACCTGAAACCTGTAGTGCGGAGCGCCAGAGCGCTAGCCACTCGTCACTAGGCCCCTCATTTTAATTAAATAAAATCGTCAAAACTACTTAAATACAATAAAGAAACCAATTTCTGGCTTTACATCCTAAATTACGACATCAATAAAAATATCAAAAAGAATGTTCCTTAACAGGCATTTTAAAAATAAGAGCACAATCAAAAGAATTTTGCAAAATTTTTCCGCACAATAGCCTATGAATGATTCCGAGCCATTTTCTTTAAACAAAAACTCGGGAAATAAAATTTTCCCTTCTAGATAGATGCATATCAAAAAATGAAAAAGAAAGCTCAGCCATAAATGAAGCCTTCACACGCTCAAAACACTGAATATTCATAGTCACCATAAATTGACACAGCATTGTGCATTTCTTTGAAGTAAAAAGAAAAAAAAAAATCTACACCGTTCTATTAAATGGTGTTAAGAGATAATGTGCTAAAAGTGAGAGAGAGATAGGGGCAGAGATGAAAAATGGCAAACCACTTAGCGGTTTATTTTTATTTTGGATAACGAAATATGATAGAAGAGAAAATGTCGTCGTTATTTGCTCAACGACGGACATTACTGCGGTGTCAATGGAATCTTTCATACGTCAAAAGAATTCCTTAATGATATTTTCCAGCGGTCATTTAGGTGTGGCGATAAGGCCAAATCACTCGTCGAATGAAAAAGTACAGATAAGCATTTTATTATTTTTTTATTGTTATTTTCTTCTTTTAGATATATTTACATTTATTTATTCTTGTAGTGGTCCATCGTAAAGGGATTGCTGTTGATGGCAAACGTTTATTAGCATTTTACTTTACGAACTATTGTGGATTTATTTGTTATGTTGAACTGTTGTTGATTTAACACTAAAGTTAATAAAAAAAGTTGATTCATAAATTATTGTAAACATGGAACATGAATTTGTAAAACACCTGAAAAATGGTAAGTTGATCTTACCTATTTTGTCACGTAGAAAAATCGATTTTCATTTAACTGTCATTCATATTTTTGTCTGTCTAATATCTTAAAACATACATAACATATTGTGTGCATATTATTTACATAATATATTGTGTCTGTTTAACATCTTAAAAATAGTTGCTTGATAAACCACTGTAAGAATGAACATGAATTTGTAAAACATGGGAAAAACGGAATATTGATCGTATTTTTTTTATTGCATCGTATGTATTTTGTAAATCGTTGCATCGGTGTATTTTGTTGATCGTATTTATTTTGTTGAATATTCATAGTCACCATAAATTGACACAGCATTGAGCATTTCTTTGAAGTAAAAAGAAAAAAATGTTCACCGTTCTGTTAAATGGTGTAAAGAGATACTAGGCTATCATTCAGATTTATGTATGTCTAATCCTCAGTATCCTGCAATCCCATGAGTAAGTAGTCAGTCTACTAATAGATGAAAGGAAAGCGGCAGCTTCTGATGTGATGGAGCACTCTTAGGTAGAAGTCTGACTTAGCTCCCTGTTGCTGATGAAGAAGGGTAGTGCCTTCCAACAAGACTTTTAGGAAGGACAATATCCCACATTTGGATATAGTATGGAAGAAATACCGCAAAACTCCTACCAGGTAGTCCGACTCACGAGCAAGGTGCTGAAACAGTGTCTAGAACAAAGCCGCCAGTGGATTGAACCTCAGCCCTAATGCTCACCAGCGACGCACATTGCCAACTGAGCCATGAGTCGGGCGTCATTTTCAATCGCAAATTGTAATTCATCACTTCAAATATAGAGGAAATTCTAAAATATTACTAAATTCTAAGAAGTCAGTTTAAAATTCCTACGATCACACAGAACAATATTTACAACTAGCTGTCGGCATATAATATCAATAATCAGAATTATCCAATTATAAGAATAAATTGAGACTACAAATTAAACGTTTCTCAGCAGGAGCGCAGGTTTGCACTGTACTTTCTCACGGTGAGAGTCTGGAGGCCGACCAACCCTTCCTCCTGAAAACCATAGAGGGCGCTTTTGCCAGTGTATAGGAAGAAACATAACAAAATTTAAAAAAATTAATTTTTATTTATTTATTTATTTTTCCCACAATCATCACACGGTAAATGTCTTACCCAGAACTGTTTATAATTAACGAATGTAAATACTAATGTTCAGTTACACATACACACAAAAATATTTCTCTTCATAGTTCATAAAAACACTGTGAACACGTGAGATTCCAAAAAAAATGTCTCCCATTAATATTATAGTTAATTGTTTAAAATCATATTTTTAACTAAATAAAAGCTATTCATTGGTAGGTTAATTCTCAACTTAAAAAAAAATGAATGCTTAATTAAAAAAAAAAACTCATTAATCCCATTAATGCCTAACTTAAAAAAAAAAATTGTACTCTAAATGTGCAAACATTAAATTAATTATTATTTTTAAAAAATATGTATTTTTCTTTATTTTTCCAATATTTATTTTAATATACACAAATCATCATCTCAATGGCATAGTTATAACCTTTTGTCAGTTGCTTTAAACCACAAAATGATCTATACTAAGCATTATTGAAATGAAAAATAAAAAAAAAGCAAATGGCGTTAACGAATATTAACTACACAATTAACATTACAATAAACAATTAAAAATTACCATATTATCTTAACATGTAACGAAATAAACACTGCTAATTCACAATTGCTGAACACAATTCGTGCAGCACAAAGCTGAAGTAAAAAAAAAATAATAATAACAATCCACAGTTCCTTTTCAACAATTACCGAACCGGCAGATGAAATAATTCATTTCTCGAATGCAGCCCTTAAAAATTAGCTGCAGCTGCTCCCCAATTACCACAGCTGCGCGAATGCGATAAAATTAAACGCTGGATAATCGCTGTTACTGTTTTGATGTAATCAGACGTTAAAAAAAATAATAAAATTAAAGCTCTTTTATATAAATTATGAAGTCGTTTTGTGGTAAAAACTTCCATTCTTCTGTAGTGCTGAAAATCAGCGTGTAAAATATAACGGTTACAGTTACAGTCACAGTCGTTATCACGCATAAGCAACAATGAGATGTAGAAAGATATTGCCAGTTTTGGGGAAACAATTGTGACTTTTATTTAGCTCTGAAAATCGTTTGGTGTGTAATGGCCTTTTTTTCTGTGCACTGATTCAGTAATGGGTTTTTTTTTTTTCACTGATTTTGTAATGGCTTTAAAGGTTTTAGATTTGTTATTTTTTTTAAGGGTTTATTTCTCATATTTTAGTAAAAAAGCATTTCAGTTGATTGGCTCCATTGTTATGGTTAGCTAATGAGCAGATTTTTGTCTGTAATGTTTTGGATTTAATTGTTTTATTGCATCAATAAAAATATATCGAGGGAAACTATTTAATTCAAATGCAAATTAGTTTTGTTTATAAGGAAAATGTGCATTGAAGGATTTTAAAAATGGAATAAATTTTCTTGAAAACAATAAACCTATAATGATTTTCTTTCTCTTAAAAATCAAAAATCAAATGATAAATATTACCATTTGATAAATATTATTATAAATATGATAATATATGGTAAATAAATAATATAATATACGATTAATATTAGTATTTTAAAGGCATATCAGTATTATTTTTTAGTTATGATTACATTTTAATAGTAGATACTGTTAAACAATCAAATATTCCATATATGCAGATCTTAAGCACTTATTAAAATGAAAAAAAAAAAATATTTTTATTATTATTTTATTAAATTTTTATTAGCGAAATATTTTTTAGGTATTAAATATTTCATATTTTTAAAAAATATTATAATTCACTATATTATTATATAAATGCTTATTAAGGAAATAAGATATCATTAAATTAAATATATAAATATTTATTTACAAAATATTTTTAATATTTACGTGTAAAATATAACGGTTACAGTCACAGTCGTTATCACGCATAATCAACAATGAGATGTAGAAAGATATTGCCAGATACTAGGAAACAAGTGTATGACTTTTAATTTAGCTCTAAAAATCATTTGTCTGTATTGTCTTTTTATTATTAATTTTTTCACTGATTTTGTAATGGCTTTAAAATTTTTAGATTTGTTATTTATTTATTTTTTTTAAGGTTTTATTTCTCATATTGGTTCTAAAATGGCTCCATTGTAATGGTTAGCAAATGAGTAAATTTTGTCTGTAATCTTTCGGATTTAATTGTTTTATTGCATCAATAAAAATAGACGGAAAGTATTTAATTCAAATGCAAATGAGTTTTTCTTTATTTTAAGGAATACGTGCATTAAATATGCAATAAATTAACTTGAAATCAATAAACTTAGAATGGCTTTTTTTTTTAACATAAAAATAGGGAATCAAAAGTCAAACGATAAATATTATTTGATAAATATAACTAATACTAATTACAAATATATTATAAATATAATAAATATTAGAATACTAGTATACCAACGGCCATACCATGCTGAATATACCGATTCTCGTTAGATCACCGAAGTCAAGCATCATTGGGCGCGGTCAGTACTTGGGTAGTCAGTACTTGGTCAGTAGTGGGTGACCACCAGGGAACACCGCGTGCCGTTGGTATTCACAAATTTGGGACGTGAATGGCCGAGTGTCTAGAGCTCTGGCGCTCGGTGCCACGGGTTTCGGGTTCGAATCCCGGCGGTGCCATGGATGTTTGTAGTGGTTTGGAATCCACTTTAAGCCGTAGGTCCCGGTCTCCTATGACTGTAAGAGCGTCACGGAGCCAAAGTCAGACTTCTACCTACTGGTGCTCCATCACAACAGAAGCTGCTTCCTTCCCCTTCAATTATGAGTACGTATAGGCTCGTGGGCTTGGCCAGCCAAGTGGGATAAGAAACAACAACAACAGAAAACTAGTATTTTTTTGAGTTATTTTATTAGTAGATAGTTTCACAATATCTAATGTCCGATATATGCAGAACATAAACACTTATTAAAATGAAAACAAAATATTTTTATTATTATTTAATTAAATTTTTTTAATTAAACGAGTAAAATATAACGATTACAGTTACAATCGTTATCACGCATAAGCAACAATGAGATGTAGAAAGATATTGCCAGATACTAGGAAACAATTGTATGACTTTTAATTTAGCTCTAAAAATCATTTGTGTGTAATGTCATTTTTTTTTTTTTTTTTTTTCCCACTGATTTTGTAATGGTTTTAAAGATTTTAGGGTTTAATTTCCCATATTTTGGTGAAAAGAATTTCAGTTGATTGGTTCAAAATGGCTCCATTGTTATGGTTAGCAAATGAGCAGACTTTTATCTGTAATGTTTTGAACTTAATTGTTTTATTGCATCAATAAAAATAGATCGAGGGAAAGTATTTAATTCAAATGCAAATGGGCTTTCTTTATTATTGTAAGGAAAATGTGCATTAAAGGATTTTAAAAATGCAATACATTCGCTTGAAAATAATAAGTCTAGATAGAATGGCTTCCTTTCACATCAAGATAGTGAATCAAAAGGCAAATGATAAATATTAGTATTATAAAGGTATATCAGCATTTTTTTGAGTTATGATTACATTTTAATAGTAGATTGTCTAACAATATCTAATGTCCGATATATGGAGATCATAAGCACTTATTAAAATGAAAACAATTTTTTTTTATTATTATTTTATTAAATTTTATTAACAAAATATTTTTTTTTTTTAAATATTAAATACTTTTATATTTTTAGAAAATATACTAATTATTACAATTAATTATAATATTTTTTAATTATTACTATATAAAGCTAATTTTACAATATCTAATAAAAAAATTGTATTATTATTTTATAACATTTTTATTAACGAAATATTTTTTTAAATATTTTCATATTTTTAAAAAATATACTAAATATTATAGTGAATTATAATATTTTTTAAATATTATTATATAAATGCTTATTAAGGAAATAAGATTTTATCAAATTAAATACATAAATATTTATTATATTTAAATTAATAAAAATTATTTTTTTTTTTTTTTTTTTGTGGTCTAAAAAAAAAAAAAAAATTGTTTTGGATATGATTCCATTGACAAAATTTACTTAAAACTCATATAATTCGAAAATGATACAATTACACTTTCAGTAATACACCAGTTCAGACGTATGCATTACACGGCTTACTAAAACATGCTTAACCATATTTTTAGTTAAATTAGTTTAGTTTTAAATTAAAAGAAATATTTTATTAGAAACCAATTGTTGTGTTGTGACTAATCCTCAGTGACCTGCAGTGAGGGACGGACATACCATGAGTAGTCTACTCATTTATGGAGGAAAACGAACAGCTTCTGTTGTGGAGCACCCGTAGGTAGAAGTCTGACTTGTTGCCGTGTCGCTGAAGAAGGAGAGCAGTGCCTTCTGGGATGATTTTTTAAAGGGAATTACAACACATTTAAGTATCGTATGAGAGAAAAACCCGGAAAACTCCCACTAGGTACTCCGACTCACGAGGCAAGATGCTGAACATCCCAAAAGCCATCAAGCCTCGTCGCTTTTTGAAACAGGGACTACAACAATGCCCCCATGGGAATGAACCTCTGCCCTCATACTCACCAGCGGCTCACATTGCCACTGAACCACGAGTCGGGCTTGTTAAAGAAATACACGTAGTACGGATCCTGTATTCAGACTAATTCAAGGTTCTTATCTTCTAGCATGCAATTAATTTAAAAATGCTAAATAAAAGGCTTTTAAAATATTTTATTTACTTAACTATAAACCATCTTTAAGCCAAATCATAAACCATCTTTTATCAAAATCAGAAACCTACCAATGGAAAAAAAAATTAATAAAATAACTATCAAATATGCTGCAATAAGCCACGGTATGAACATCTTTGCTCTATATTTTACGTAATGAGCAATTAATTAAGAAAATGCCATCACCTTTATGAATATAGACTCAAGAGAAGTTATTTTAAAGGTGTCATGATTTAAATTAAGCTAAGTAGAAAATTTAAGTTTATACATTCGTATAAATCTCTTTAAGCTCTTAAGTACTGCCATTTTTTTTTAAATAATAAAATAAAATGATTAAGGTAGAAATATTTTGAGCTAACATGAATTAGAAATCGCAGCCGATGCCTTAAATTTCAGTTAAGAAGGTGATTAATAATATTTACCCAAGACAGTTTGAAAGGTAAAAATCTTCACTTTTAAAATATAGGATGTCGGATTTAAAAATCAAAGTTGGGATACATTTTTGTTAAAAAGAAATTTCTGCCTGTATTGGGCATGTATGAATCACGCGTTCAGGAGTTCAAGTTGGAAACAAAATTGTCAAAATTGCCAGAAATCTAATATTTATGATGTAAAATTATTTGATCAAGATTTCATCAACAAGAAACATTGGGGTGGGGGAAGAAAGAAAGAATAAAGATGACAATTTATTTGCAATTATCTAAATAAACTACTGCCTGGACTAACAAATAATTGATTATGCTAGTCTTATTTAGCTAGTTTAAAACATAAATGACTTAGGTTAAAGTTAAAGATAGACATTTATGCTAGTTATATATTATTAGGTTGTTAAAACATAATTAGGTTAAAGTTAATTAATTATGCTAGTCATTATCTAGAATAAGACTTTTTTTTTAAGTTAAAGCTAGTCATATAAGTTTGGTTAAAACGTAACTGACTAGGTTAAAGTTAAAGCTAATCAATTATACTAATCATATTAGTTAGGTTAAAACATAATTGACTAGATTAAAATTAAAGCTAGTCAATAACGCTAGTCATGTCAGTTAGGTTAAAACATAATTGATTGCGTTAAAGTTAAAGCTAATCAACTTATAACTTTAACCTAATCAATTATGTTAGTCATTTTAACTAGGTTAGAATGAAAACTTACAAAGTAATCGCTTCACCACTGTCTTGTTAGAATCGAAACGGAAAGAAATGTCCGTACGTTATTATTTAAGGACAAAAAAATGTGCAACAACAATATTTAATAATTGATAATTGAAAAATCTGGCCCTAACGCGAAAATAATCATACTTACAGAATAAGCAATAAACTATTTAATTAAACAATGTTATTAAAACATATAAATAAATTAAAAATTTAACCAATCAACTTTATTTAATATGAATTTATATGCTTTCTCACCCCCACCCCCCATAAAATTCTCCTCTTTTCGCAATTTTGGATTTGATTATTCAATTGAAAATTATTTTTTATAGCTTAGAAATATTTCTTTTACTTATAAATATTTAATAGTTTTAAGTAAATAATTCATCTAATTCATAAAAAATATTAAAAAGTGGAACCGCAATTTAAATTCATAACTATTTCAATTATTTAGTCGTAAAAGATATATATTCTCTATTAACACGCCTTCATTGGCAAACAAAGAAAAGTACATTCAAAAAGCACTATGAGAACAATAAAAACACCTAAACAAACCACAAATATCTTATTACGCCCTACGATATTGAATCACCAGGCGAAAAAAAAATGATAACGGCAGGCAAAAAGCCCCATACATCATTTAAATGCGAGCATCCCCATATGGCCATGAAACAGATAAAAAAAAAAGTGCAAACGATAAAGGAGTGTTCGATGACAATTTTTCCAAGAACAGGCCATCCGTTTAAGTAGAGAGAAGCTCTATAGAGTTCATAAAAGGATTGGTGTTGCCAGATTTATTTACGGTAAAAGCAAACGATATTCTAACTCCGAATATACCAACTTATGATGCTGTTCTTTTTTTTATGCTGCTCAACACCTAAAACCACCGAATAGACATGGATGGCTTCGGTAAAAAAATTATTCTATTCGCATAGGTGTTTGTTAAGAGGGTTTAGTTGCAAGGCTTCTTTAGCATCATCCAGTAACGGTAACAGGGAAAAAGAATGCAATAATAAACACAAAAGGGAAAAAAAGGGAATTTATTATTAGATGCAGTTTTGCTTTTTTAACATCTTCATATACGTAGGTAAATATTTGAAGTTACAAAAATCAAATGAGTAAATTCTCACTAATATAATAATAACTATTTTTAACTAATAATTTTTTTTAACAATGAAGATTAAATTAAATTAACTTTTTGTTACAAGTAAAAAATAATATTTGAAAATATGAGCATTTAATTCCAACTATTATTACATGTAACTATCATCCCAAAGAGTTAATTTAATTTAATATCTTGTGTTAAATGATTAATTAAAAATAGTTAGATAACAGATAATTAGATGACTTGGTGAATGTGTGTGTGCGTGCACACGTTTAGGCATTATTACTGTTATAAATTATTAAAACACAAAAATTTAATCCCACGACTCATGGACCAGTGCTAAAAAGCAGGAAGTAAGCGTTCAAGAATATATACATTCCATTAGAAACATTGCAGTCACTAATTTAGAAACGAGAAGACTCAATGGTGATTAGCACAATGTGTCAATAAAAATATTGACACATTGTGCCAATGAAGAAGGAACAACAAGTGAGGAATCTACAAACAAAACAGGAGACAAACTTTTATTAAAAATAGTTTTTTTTTACCCATAAAATTATCCGTATTGTTTAATAGAGTTCTTAAAGTTTTGAGAGT